TATATATTGAATGTATGTGTCTATGTGTGAAAATAAACAGACAGATACTACTAATACAATTCCTGCGCTTCTGTTACTTTTCTCCCCACTTGAGGAACTGCTGTCTGGGGTTGGCCTCTAACAGATACAGGTGTCCGACTACGGGCAGCGCAAGCCCCGGGCTGGGGGGTAGGCGGGGGGAGTTCTGGCTCCATCTGTTGAAGACGGTCAACACACAGAGGGCAAACAGCAAACCCAGGAGGACCGTCTGAAGAGAGCCTTCGCCAATGTCAAGGACGGCCAACATTGGAACGTTTGAATGGATTCAACCTGCTCAGTGAAATAGAAAAATAGATTTTTTTAATGAATAAGTGTATATTTATGAGAGAATGAATGAATGAATGAATTAATTAATTAATGACTGAATGGCTGAATGAATGAATGAATGAATACTTACTTATATATACCTTCTCTCTCCCTCCCACGCTCTCTCTCTCTCTCTCTCTCTCTCTCTCTCTCTCTCTCTCTCTCTCTCTCTCTCTGATTGTACTTTTACAGCTCTCTGTTAGTATAGGGCCTACCTGTTCCTTTTTTCCATTTGATCTCCAGAACCATGTCTGATTGGGCAATCTTGGCATTCTCAAAACATGTCCCGAAATCTACATTATTATTTTTTTTATTGTCCCACTGATATCTTCAATCCTAACTTTTTCCAACACGTCTTCATTTGCGACAAATTTATTCCATTTTATTAATTAAATTCTTTGTAGATGTTTTGTTTGAAAATGATTTTGTTCTAAATTTCGTTGAACGTTCTTATACGTTCTTATCAAGCAGCCCAAGCTCCGGGATGGGAGTACAAGTGCCAGAAATTGCTTATAAACTTTGATTTATTTTTCAATGAGGTGATTTTTTATATATATTTTTTTTTTTTTGATAAGTGTATTACGGTGCTCGCAACTGCATAAGGTCATATAATTGCCGAAGATTAGAGGTGTTACAAGAGAGTAACAAACACAAAAAAAGAAGGATTGGAGATAAAGATGATAGATATGTTTGATAGGAAAGAAAAAGCAAACCACACCAGAGCACCCGTCAACCACCCACGAGGTGATATTTGATGTCCAGATGGCTTGTTTAAGTCGTTGACGGACATCATCAATGCGGTTTGTGGTTTTGGAAATAATGCTGCTTACATGCATGTAGGCCTACTAGAATTTATCTAATTCTGCCCACCCACAGACTACACTCGTTTTGCCTCGGAAAAAAATACGTCAGAATCTGTCTGTCTTTGTCTGTTTCAGGATGAGAGGCCTACATCACACCGAAACAAGCGGACCAGAACTTAATGTTCGCGTCACTTTCCGTGGAAAAAAATAACGCAGCGGAAATCTCCAGTATAACTTTTTATTTTCTATCGGTCTTTGCGTCCACTCACCACGCAACGGACAACTACGTACGGAAACAGATGAAAGAATTCCGTATCGGTATTTTTTAAAAGTTTTCTTCCGTTCTTCTGAGATTATAATGTTTCTGGACAATTTCACGCTCCCAATACAAGGAATTCCGTTTTTGAAGGATATAATGAAAAAGAGTGAGCGCATGTGTGTATCTGTGTGTGTGTGTGTGCGCGCGCGTGTGTATGTGTGTGTGTGCTCTTTGACTTTTTAAGTTGTGTGTTGCCTATGTTGATTTACAATTACGGGCAGAATCAGACTGTGATTATAATGTTAAAATTAAAGACGCAAAATGGGGGCTCTTGTGGTCTAGAGGTTTTGGTGTTCGTTCCCCCGTCATTCAAAAGGTACTGGATCGAAATCTGACCGCGACGGAAAATTTCCTCCTCCAAAATGTTCTCCTTTTCACCTTCTTTTCTGCTTTCTAACCAGGTTCTGTCGTCTAGTGGGCTGACTTAGGCCAGCAGTCCCATTACCCACTGCAAATTTTAGTAGGAAGGAACCACTTGGCATGTATCCTGATCTAAGCATTTCTCATCGTCTGCTAGTACTTCATCTATAAAGCGACACTCGTCTAATCTTCTTCTTCTTCTCGATCGCATCACACTTACTTGAAGTTCAGTATGTCATAAAACGTTCTGCTCTGTTCATCTGTCGGCCCGTATAGCTTTCTTTTGTAGCGTCAGTGGGGTTGGCCACGCTTCCTGTCTCAGGGCCCTGTGTGTCCTGCAGTACTGAAGGATGAGTTCAACAGTTAGGTCCGCCGCTCCACACTGGTATTTTGGTAATTGTACTAGTTTAAAACTCCTCTAATAATTCCCGTTATTCAAAAATGGGGTGGATCCAAAATCTGCAGTGGATAGTTTTCTCTTGTCTCAGGGCCCTGTGTGTCCTGCAGTACTGAAGGATGGGTTCAACAGTTAGGTCCGCCGCTCCACACTGGTATTTTGGTAATTGTACTAGTTTAAAACTCGTCTAATAATTCCCGTTATTCAAAAATGGGGTGGATCCAAAATCTGCAGTGGATAGTTTTCTCTTGTTCCACCACCACAAAAATATTTTTTGCTTCCGATTTAGAGTCTTCTTGTTGGCTTAACGAAACGGATTTTTCCGGACCCTGTGGGTTTACAAAATTACGGCCGGAAACAGACAGATTCGGACGGAACTTTTTCCAATGCAAAATGTTTGTGGTCTGTGGGTAGGTACCCTTAGGCTTATGCTGTAAATCCCCTTTCACCCTCCCCCCCCCAAACCCCTCCCCCTCTTTTTTGCCTCACTATATGCTAACATCAAAGAAAACGTGTCTGAACCTTAGTTAGTAGCGGCCTTCATTCAAGTGTTTTTAGATTCCGTGGTCATCCACCGTTTAGACCATCTTTTAGACCCGCATGCAAAGACCTGAGGTGAGGACAAACGAAAATGAGAAAGCAAAAGAGGTCGTCTAATTAAAATATAACACTCTTTTGTTAACATGCTATGATTCCTTTTGCATTGGTTTTTTACATTATATATATGTTTATTTGTAATAATCCCCATTTCCCTTTTCAGGTGTGGTAAAATATTTTTATTTTAAGATCGCACTATCACATCAAAAAGCACTTTTCGTCGGGACGAAACGTTTGGTGGGGTTGTTTTTTTTCGAATACGATCCCTTTCTGGAGTTATAATATAAAGACATGTTAAAACACGCTTAGGGCCAAAATTCGGGAACAAACTGATGGATTCTATCAAGTAACCCCCCCCCCCCCCAAAAAAAAAAATGCTTTATTTCATAAATAGACGTATACCCCTTACTTTCTTAATTAATTTTTTTTTGTCATAGTGATGTCGGATTTTTTTTTCAACAGACTGCAGTAGAAATTTCTGTCCACTTTAGCTATAGCTTGTTCACTTTAAACTGTTCGCGTTTTTTAAAAAAAGTAGCTCATTTAATATTTCACTGACGCCCACGAAACTTTGCATGGCACTTCAGGAGGCCAGCGCCCAAACAAAAATATTTCTTCAAAAAATCTTGAGAACCAGTAATTTTTAAAAGTTTCTCTTTGGGCTGTATATTAAAAACCGCTCTTTGGATGCATACAAAGGATCATTAAAATAAATGACAGGCTCCAAGTCTCGAAATTTACTCACCCCGTCTCTTGAATCGTGTTTCTACGTTTAGGTGAGGTGTTGGGTAATAAGATATGTCTATGGTGTAAATCATTTTTTTAAAACCCGCTTTAAGCTTAGATCTATATAAAAGAAAACGTGTCGGAACATTACAGCTTGCTCACTTCTGGCTCTTTATTAGTTTACCTATGCCCTGTCTCCGATTGCTCTTTTTGAGATAGTAACACCACTCTGCCCCCACGTTTCAGTGTAAGCTTGCAGATTTCATCCCCCGGCTATCTAGATGTCTCCACGTGCTCCACATGAGTCTCGAAGATTACTCTTCCTGTCTCTTGGGTGTTTCTTAAGCCGGCCATCCATGTACAGGCCGGGCCTTGAGGCTGGGCCTGAACGAGGCCTACGCAAGCCATAGCAGGTCTGAACCTGGCCTGAACCGGGCCTGAATATGGCCTGAATGTGGCCTGAATGTGGCCTGAGCAGGCCTTGCACAGGCCACGTTCAAGCCAACATTCGGTGGAATCCCCGGCCTCAAGGCGGCTTCCCAGATATCTCTCGCTGACAGATATTTTTTGCACAGGCCTGAGGCTGGAGTACTTTAGATTAAAAAGAAGAAGAAAAAAATAAGAAAAAAATCTCTACGGATTTTTCATCATTATAAAATTCTACTGCGGTTCGAAACCAAACTCACGTGTGTGCGCGCGCGCGCGCGCGCGCGTGTGTGTGTGTGTGTGTGTGTGTGCGTGTTTGAGAGACAGAGGGGGGGGTGGCACCATCATAAATGAACACAGAAAGCCTGTGTACGTGGATACCCGGCTTTAGACGTACCTTAAAGTGTGGCGTTGAGGAAATTATGTCAACTTTTTTATGTTTGGGGGGGGGGGGGGGGAGGGGCTACACCTGAAGGCTATCTCACTTATTAGTGGATCAAATTTGACCAAATTTCTCCCATATTACAAGCATTGGTCATATTGGATTTTGTTGGCATGGCTTACGTAATGAATATCGTACTTTTTGTTCAAGGAAATTGCTTTTGTGTGAGTGTGTGTGGGGGAGGGGGGTTGCATGCAGGTTAGCAAACATTAGATCTAAACATTTGTCCGATTATTTTTTCCTAAACAAATTAGAAACTTTTTTTATGAATATTTTCCTGAGGTAGTATCCAAGTTTGCAAAAAATCCGTGTAGATCCTCACTCCAGGCACCACCAGCAAAAATCTATTCCATATATCAAAAATTCAGTATACAAATTTTTAGTATTAAAACTACACCTTCTCTTTATTCTGTGAAAATTTCATGAAATTTTGAATTTTACACGGATGGCGGTCGAAGCCTACTCTTATCGATTTCAGACCACCAAGCGATCTTAAACGTTCGCAACGTGCACACGGGACCTCCGAGATGTTTCACTCTTGTCTGAGAAGGCTAAGTGTAGATCTTTCCTACAAGAAGATTAGGGGAATGGCTGAACGACAGCAGTAAGAAGGAGCCAAAGAGTAGCAGTAGAAAGGCTGCAGAAAGAGTCAGGAGCCCGGAGGAGGGGGCAAAGGACGTGAGGGGGGGGGGAGGGGCAAAAAGTGGAGATGACAGCAGACGATAGAACATTGGTAGAGAGCAGGAAATGAGGTGAAAGAAGACAGTTTTAGAGAAGAAAATGTTCCCGTCGCTACACGGATTCGAAATGAGAGGCCAACACCTTAACCTCTAGGCCACGAGAGCCCCATAATGGGTGTTTACACTGACAATGAAAGAAGCAAACCAAAAGTTTGAAATTTAACCCTTACAATATTATTACTACTCTGCTATGTGTGTTATGTGATGTGATGTGGGCCAATGGCCTTAAACACTGAATACACTTACTTACTTACTGCTCTACTAAGTCAAACCGCAAATTGACGCAGTTTTGCCATTTTCAAATGTCGTTGAGCATAATATGACCTCGAATGGATCTCAAACCATTCCTCCAATGCGGATAGAGCATTTTCATTACCTTTCAGCAGGAGAATTCTTTTCACAGCTTCCCTCATATTCAAGATGTACCTTCACGAAAAGAGAACTCAAGTTCAAACCATTCATCTGGGTTCGTTTTCTTAACTCCACACACAGCTTTAAAAAAATTAAATAAGAACCAGAGCATGATGTGAGGAAGTAGGAAGTACCAACAAATAAAACGTTCATAAAAGCCAAAAGCTTCCCTTGCACTGGTGTTATTTATTTACGATTTACGTTGTTATCTATTTAGTCAATGGCACAACGATAGTTTAGCTGACACCAAGCTGGGCTAGAGTATGAGTGCCTCTGGTTCTCTGGTTCGAACTCTAAGAATTCACTTTTGAGCTTTTGGGTTGTTTTGGGAAGTTTTTAAAGGCTCTCAATACTTTCAAATAAATAAATAAATGGACATTTAATTCTGAAGGACTAACTTTTAAACGATCTCGAATATAGGGGTGTTGAAACACTACCTTAAAAACTCTGTAAATCATTTTTGGGAGATAAAAATAAAGCGGTTTACTACAACAACGAACACGCATATTATAGCGCAGGATACACCACAGCCACAACACGCAGTTTTCGCTCGCCGAAGGTGGTGATGCAATCCTTCCTCGTGCTTTGGAAGACGTAGTTGGGAAGAAGTAAAGGTAAGCTACCTACTTTTACACATTGCACTAAAACATCTATAAAATAGTCCCCTAAAAAAATCACCTTTCAGCCTTTGAAATACTCCTGATGATGTTCAGTCGTACTCACACACACTCACACAAAGTAGTAAATCAAAGCAGACGTTTATTTTAAGGCAGTCCTACTCACGAAAGCATAAATAAATTCCAGAGACTTTTCCTGCGACCAAATCTAGGTCATCGTCTGGAACTGAACTCGCCTGCTCGCCCTCCCACCGGGCGAAATGTTAGGCTGCTAAAACGAGAGCATCAGACGAGCGTACGATGGGGTAGTCTAGTACAGGGTAATGCACGTCGTTCGGAGTGCCCCTCCCACGCACACACGTTGGCACACCCCTTCCTCCCACCCCCTCCACCCCTTTCCACTCCTCTTTTTTCACCATCCTTTACTTCCCCCTTTTTCTCTTCACACCATCGGCTAAGCGCCAAGCAAGCGTATCATGTTTCAGGGAAAGTTGTCAGGAGATAGAAAAATACCCCCCAAAAAGTCTTCGTTTGATGATTTAGAATGCTAGCTGTCGGTGCATGTTGTACTGTCAAGAAATGAAGGTTTTTTTTAAAAATTGATCTTTCTTGGATTGAGAATTCATGATTCGATGCTCGCGAAAAGGAAATGCAGAAGTGTCAAGTTAACTTACCATTAAATAATTTTGTACTTCTATGATCTTGTATCATAAGAATTATCTTTAAGCACGCCATTAGAAAGTCTATTCTAGAAAGTCCATAGTTCATAAATAATCTGCAATGCCAAAAATACGACACTTCGGTCGAGCTATAGGTTCTTTTCGTTATTTGCTTTCAGTCTTAGAAGAGTTTTAACTGGGCCTTGAGACTTGCATTGCGCCTTCGATATCAAGAAAAAGGGTTTTCGTAGAAACAATTCTACATCAGATTAGTTCTTAGCGGTGAATTACCTCACAACCAATCGATACCGACATCTGTGGTGAAGCGATTATGTACTTCGCTGACGTATGTAGGAGACCCGAGTTCGATTTTTTATTATTATTATTTTTTTTTTTTTTTTTTTTTTGGGGGGGGGGGGGCAAGTGCTTTACGGTGCTTGCAACTGCATAAGGCCATAGGAACGAAGAGAAGAAAATTTTCCGTCGATATCCGGATTCGAACCCGGGCCCTACTGAATGAGAGGTAAACACCTTAACCTCTAGACCACGAGAGCCTTCAATGGTATAAATTGTGTCGACAGAAGCGTAGAAACACCTAAACCATATGAGTAAAAAACACTCGATTTCTTTGTTACACACAATAATGCGTGTTTGGCGTTTGGTTGTCAATTGCATCTCTGTCTTTACGTCTGTCTGTTTGTTTATCTGTCTGTTTCCCTCTCTGTCTGTTCTGTCTATCGCAGATCTATTTCTCTGACTGTATCTCTTTCCTCTTTCTCACTCTAATTATCGATCTGCATGCCCCCCCCCCTCTCTCTCTCTCTCTCTCTCTCTCTCTCTCTCTCTCTCTCTCTCCCTCCCTCCCTCCCTCCCTCCCTCCCTCTCTCTCTCTCTCTCTCTCTCTCTCTCTCTCTCTCTCTCTCTCTCTCTCTCTCTTGTCTGTCTGTCTGTCTCTCTCTGTCTCTCTCTCTCTTAGATTTTCTCTCTCTGTCTCTCTCTTTCTCTCCCTCTTTCTCTCTCTCACTCCCTCTCTCTCTTTCTCTCTCTCTCTCTCTCTCTCTCTCTCTCTCTCTCTCTCTCTCTCTCCCTTTCTCCCTCTCTCCCTCTCCGTCTCTCTTTCTCCCTCTCAGTCTCCTTCTGTGCCTGTCTCTGTGTCTCTCTCTGTCTGTCTTTTCTTTCCCTCTGTCTCTATCGCTGTCTCTGCCCCCCGCCTTTCGCTCTCTCTCTCTCTCTCTCTCTCTCTCTCTCTCTCTCTCTCTCTCTCTCTCTCTCTCTCTCTCTCTCTCTCTCTCTCTGTCGGTATGTTTGTCTATCTCCTCTCTCTCTCTCTCTCTCTCTCTCTCTCTCTCTCTCTCTCTCTCTCTCTCTCTCTCTCTCTCTCTATCTCTCTCTTCATTGAATCTGATCATTCATTCGTACTTGAAGCACTTTGCCTACTAATGATTGATTGAATTGTCCGGGGGGAGGGGGGCGTCTCTTTGTTTAGTTGCGAGATGAGAAAACGCCAAGTGCAGGTCGGATAACTATATCTAGTTTGTTCAATACAGCACACCGGTGTGTTAAGTTAAAGACTTGTCAGATAATGTCCGAACAGCTTGAAGTTTTTGAATCTATAAAAGCACATTATGCTGTGTCTACCGAAACGACACGACACCTTCCTATAAAAGATGAGTCTGTCGGAACGCCTCGTGCAGCATTTTAGTAGGGCGTGTGGTGACTCATCACATCAGCCAGAGGCCCGGCCAGAACTTTAAAAAAAATAACTAATTCTAAGTTGGGATCAAAACAAAATCTCATGTCATATTCGAAATCACTACCTAAAAAATAGGTAATAGTACGCTCAAACAACGTGGTTTAAATACATATCTACAATAAAGCTAATTTTTAAAAACCAATTCATTAATTCAAATTCCCAACTTGCGTTCATTGACCTCTTAACAATAGCCCGATACCGAGGACACAGTGTGATGACCGCTGTTGGTCTCGTTTCTTCGTCGTCGAGTCAATGACAAATTCGCCAATAGCCCTATATAGCTTCACTCAAAAGCAAGCACAAGGAATAATTTTTATACTTAATAATATACATGTACGTCAGTGTATATTTATATTTTTATATATATATATATATATATATATATATATATATATATGGGCACACAACAGGGAAGTAGTAAGTACTAGAAGGCCAGTAGGCCAAGAGCCTAGTCGCGAGTTGGGGCGTTTCCAATTCCAAACTGCCAGATCATTGGTAGACACCGACGCCTGAAACGAACACGATCGATTGGTTCCCTCTCGACGAAAAATCAGGTCGTTTCTAGTTTGGTGGAAACGCGGCATAATGTGATTTATTTTTATTCGTGTGCTCTCATATGGCCCCCATACGCTGTCTTTGTTTTCAAGTTATTTTGTTATGTTCATTTTGAAGACTCTAAAAAGACATTTGGATGAAGGCTGGAGAGATGGTCACGAAGTGACAGTGAGAGCTTTCGCACGCGTTGATGATTTTTGCTGCTGTCTCCATCGTCTGTCCATTGTGCATATCTCAGGAGAAAAGTCTGGATCTTCGGCTATTACCTGGTGCCCATTGCGTGTCGGGTCGGGTCAGGTCGGGTCTGGTCTGGTCGATCGCCCTACTCGTCGCTTGAAAACAAATACGAGGTGCCCATTGGCACGGTCGGGTATGTCTGGTCGCTAGCCAGATTGAAGGCTGAAAGCGGCTATCGGGGCACAAACTGATCGCCCGACTCGCCACCTCAAAAACAAACGCATTTGTTTCCAGGCGACAAGCCGGGCAATCGACCCGACCCGACTTGATCCCACCCGCAATGGGTACCCGGTAAAACGCCTTTGTTTTTTAGGCGACGAGTCGGACGCGATCGGCTTGTGCCACGATAGCCGCTTTTCGTCCTTAATCTGGCTAGCAAACCGCCCTGACCTGACCCGATCCCGCAGAAGTCACCCCGTATAAGTAAAACGTTGTAGTGTAGTCAGCCAACAGATATCGCAAGTCAAGTTAAGAATGTCTTTAATTAATCCTGTTCCCTTTTCGGACCCGGGAGTCTTTGGATTCAGTCGAAAGTCTTTGGCAACAGATGAACAGTCAAGCCTCAGGTTTCTTTAGTCTTGTTTCGTAAAATAAAAACAATGGTCGATGCGTATTTTTTAACCTTTAGTGAATTGAAAGTACAGAGCTAAAGGGTCGGGTCGTAGTTATTTAGTGTGATAATACAAGAATTTGCAATTATTGAGACACTTCGAACAACTTCAAAAACTTCGTGCCTGTTGGTTGGCATCACTCTAGACGTACTGTAATAGTCAAACCACGTTATACCCCCCCCCCTCCCCCCGCTCTCCCTGTTATACCGCAGGCCCTGCTTGCCGCCAGGTTTTGCCAATGTAAGAACAGGACCCCTATAAATTAATGTAAGCACACTCTTCTTCTTCTTCTTCTGTCCCGTGATTGGGGCAACCGTGGGGGCACCACTGCATCTGAAAACCACCTCTATTTTTGTCCTTTTCTCTCCTCAAATTGTCACCCATCGTCTTTCCTGTCACTCTGTAATGTTGTCCTCCCATCTCCTTCTCTGCCTTCCTCTCTTTCTCTTTCCTTGTACGGTTCCTTGCAGGATTGTTTTGGCAAGTCCTGTTGATCATGTGACTTGCCCATACCACTTTAATTTTCGTCTCTTCACTGTGGTCAGTAGATCTTCATGCTGCCCCACTGCATTGGTGATTCTCTTTCGTACCTCAGCATTTGAAACGTGGTCTTTGTACGAGATGTCAAGGATTCTGCGGTAACATCTCATCTCTGTGGTCAGAATCTTTTTCTCTAATTCTGCTGTCAGTGTCCACGACTCGCAGGGGTATAAAAAATATTGAGATGACCGGTTTTTTATCCTTTAAGTGGGTCCTCTTATTTTAGACACCCTGTATTTGAGCCTTTACCCCGCCATCCGTCATCCACCAACTGTATGAGTTGTACGGTCCTTATAAGATTAATGTAACTTTGCCCCGTTGTACCGCCAGCAAATTGGTACACACTACACACAGCACACGGGGACTCACTTGATGGCTGCTTGATTATCTCTTTCCCAAAAATACGTCCCAGCAAGCCCGGCCTATTTGTACTAGCATTTGTCGCTGATTTGCTTCTGATTTGCGCTGATTGTGAATATGCTATTATTTTTAGGTTTTGACCAATATTTTGTTTACAAATTGGATTGAAATTTTTTAATTAACTGGAGAACCCCCCCCCCCTCCCCCCCCCCCCCCCCAACCGGGGCAGTGCTACTGACTGAAGTTGTCTTTACGCCATTCCCAAAGTGGGGATATTAACATGTTCTTTTTCCCAGAAGAGTTGTAAATGGGCTGATTTATCAATGTCATGCTCATACTGTGTCAGAACGTAGGGGGAACTGCTGCATCTTTTTTCCCCATCCTTACTATCGTCATTTTTGCTCTACTTTATTGTGTGTTTGTCACTCTCTTGTGAACTGCTATTTCCGGGGAGCCTTGATAGCCGAAGCAGACTTTTGTGGTGTTGAGGCTAGAGAGGTGAGCAGAGTTAGCC